GATACTGCATGGAGTTGGGTTGAGTTGACGAGTTAGATTTGTGAGATCAGAGGATGTACCACTTACTGATACTGCATGGAGATGGGTTGAGTTGACGGGTTGGATTGTGAGATCAGTGGATGCACCACTTGCTGATACTACATGGAGTTGGGTTGAGTTGACGGGGTTGGATTGTGAGATCAGTGGATGCACCACTTACTGATAGTGCATGGAGTTGGGTTGAGTTGACGGGTTGGATTGTGAGATCAGTAGGTGCACCACTTACTGATACTGCAGTCAAAGCCTTCGAATTCCTTTGTACAATTACATCTGAAGTCTTCGGGCGAGGTTTGCCAGCAGATGCCATTATTTAGACATGGATAACTGGAACAAAACCTCCTACCTGTGAATTAATGTTCAATAACGAAAATAATATGAAACGGCCATGAAATCGTAGAGACGCTCTTTACCAAAGACCCCCAAAAGTCTGGAAAATTTGGTCGAGATATGTTAATTTTATATTTTACAATTATTTTTTTGCAAAGTTTGCAGTAACACTGACTTTTCTTTATTCATCTAACGTGCAGTAGGCTGTTTAGAAACCAGTTTGCAAAGGACGATCGGGCTGAGGCGAAACACTACCTCAAATTGTTTCAACAAAACAGAGAGACAGTTTAAAAACAGACATGAACAAACCAATAATATCAAAAATTCTCACCTCGACATTCGTCCTCCAGAAACTGGACATCATCTATTGCAATGTAATTATCATCGCCAGTGGATGTGGTAACGTTAATTGTGATCTGTAAAACAATGCCGCGAGCATTCATTAAATCGTCAGCAACTGGTCCTTTTATTGGATACAGTCATCAACTGTGATGAAAAAGTGCCAAAAATGTGTATGTAAACTTACACGATATTTCCCAATGACTGAAGTCAGATCAATGTCATGTTCCACCCACGTTTCTGTGTAATCCAACAGGACGGGAAACACGTCTTCTCTCCCAGACGCGTCGCTGACTGAGACCCCCATGTCCCCGGATGTCTTAGCATGATAGTAAAGTCGAAGCGTGCATGTCGCTTCACTGCTCCATCGATAGTAATAGGGTGTCCTCAACCGTGCTTCACCGTCAGAAAATCGGGTGTTTACGTTGATCAAAAAGTGACCTGAATTATGAATGACTTTTCTTTAGGTTTGTTCGTCGCGCAAACAAGTTTCAAATTCCAAAATGTAAAATTTCACCTATATTATCAGATTCAACATAACAGTAATTGCTTTATCGAGGTTCTTGCTTTTATGTTCTTGTAACGTTAGATTTACTGCACTCTATTTTATTCCAAAAAGGACTTTAACAAGGCCTTGATCTATTCTCAGAAAGATTTCATTGCTGTACCGGAACTTGTGCCCAGCGTGTGGTCAATTTTTGGGCCTTTGCCCTCGGCCGATGCATTGAATCCAGACCAGCGCGACCATCTGCCATCTACGTCGAAAAAGCCACAGGTGTCTGCGAACAAAGTGCCTCCCTCACAGTCGTAGACAAGGGGTAGGGCTATGTGAACGAAGCAGGTCGATAATTACGGGGTGAATAATGTGCCGAACCTGGGGGGCAGGGATGTCTAAATATGTTACAGTCACTCGATGAAAGATCCATCATTCCAAGTAAAGTTGAATTATATAACCTTGCCAGGAGATTGTATTGCTTCAATACTTCTTACCGATATCAAGAAGGGTTTGTTCTCTCTTAAGCTCATTTTGGACTTCACTTTCAATAGTTTTTGCAAGTTTGACTAAGGGTCATATTTAACGGTACTGTCACGCGATAGCAGGCTTTGGCAACTATGTTTGAGTGTGTCGTTTCTGTGCAACGTGATTCTTTTCCCCGTTTGAACACATTTACCTCGTATTCACATAAAATGGTATAGGCCGTTGACAAGAAAAAACGCCTACCTCCGACCTGTAACTTAACGTCGTCTACGGCAGCGAAAGGCTTAGTCGTTGCACCAGGAGACAATGTACTTTCAAACGCCAACTGCAGTATTTTGCAGGAGAGAATTACAGAGGCAGGGAATGAGACTCCAAAACAAGATACGCGTTGGGTAACAGGCACTGTGCAAATTTCGATTTGATCAAAGGGGAAGGTGAACTTAAAAGACGATGTTTTCACTTAGAATTGCCTTTGGGATAATCCAAGGTGTAGAACGTGTGGTGGACTTGGGACCAAAAATAACTTGTTTCCTCCCTTTTTGTATAACAATGTGCTTAGGCATCTTTTGAAATTAAACCATATTCACGGAATCACAAGGCTGGGGTACACTCTGAATGAATACAATTTTAGGAAAAAATACAAGAAAGTTTATATTATATGTTCCCGAGGTGGGACGTTTAATATTGAAGGGGAAATTTATTCCCATGAACTGGGGGAAAAACGGAGAAGAATGCCACCAGCATCGGTGACAATCGCTGGTCTTGGTTCGAAGTACGCCCTTACTCATCCGTGAATCCAAATTGCATAAAATGTTTGTTACTCCGCAACTGTACCGTGGCTGCTGTGTACAGCAAAGAGGAAGTTGCAGCACCTATCTGATGGTTTAAAAGTAATACATCATTGTGCAATGCAACCAATCAGGTGTGGTTTATACGTACAGCCTACTGAACCACTAGTACTTAGAATTATTATAGCACACTGCAAAAACTGGGGTGTTAAATTTAACACCCGCGGTGTTATCAGAAGACTACACCAACACTTTTCACTGGTGTTAAAATTTTGGTGTTATTTGGTGTTACCTGAAACACCTTCTAGTGCACTGTAACACTTATAGGTGTGCAAAGTGACATCATTAGTGTTAAAGTAACACCCTTTGGTGTGGTCATCTGATAACACCCAAAAGTGTTGATTTTAACACCTGAGTTTTTACAGTGCGGCTTGTGTTCATAGAAATGACGCTGTTTTACCCCATAGCATTAACCAACCTGGAACGGTATAGGTGGGTAGACTTCAGAGAGCTCCACCGTCACCCATCGGCCGGTTATGAATTCGTCTACTGAAGACCAGAGGGCTAGACGAGCGCCATCTTTCCGGAGATACCTCAACTCGAGCTTGCAATCTGACAGATGAGAGTTGTTTTTAATTTTGCGCTTTTCGTTTGTCGATCACCTGCACGAGTGTTATACCCCCACCCTACATGTACATAACCAACGCAGTGCGTAATACACGATGGTGGGCTGTACTCTATTGGAAACTCATTTCATCTGTCTTCTTGAGGTCGCGCAATGATGATTGTTCTTGGGCAGTCAAGTATGATTTATGGAGCTTTATACCACGTGGATGCAAGAATTTAAGCAGTCATTCTTAAATCCTCATTTGATATCACAGTGGGTATGAAATAAGCCTGTTGAATGTAGGTGTTGGTTTTAAGAGTGAGCACCATCAACTTACTGTCTTGGGTACCTCGAAGGTTGTACTGGAATCCAATCACGGCAAATATGATGTCATCGGTACTGCCATCGATTACTGGGGTCAACAGGCTTGCCGTCGCTGGTGTGGTCAGGGTGTGGGTGTTAAGTATCGAGTTGGCATAGGCTAAGTATAAAAAAAGGTGCATGCATAAGATTTTTGTAGGAAATAATTTTGGGGAATAATTCAAAGCCCATCCTTCTCTCTGGTCAAACAACAGACGGATTTGCCCCATGCTGAAGCTTTAACAGCTTGTTCCCAGGGCCCTCCATCCTCCCTGCTGCATGCGCTACTGAGAGAAAGACAGATATACCTGTAAGTGCCAGTGGTCCTTCTTCGCCGGTGAGTCCGTTGTAAAGAATGCTGCCCGGTTCCCAGTTGATGTCATCATTATTTTCGGCACTCCAGCCGCATAGAAACGGTATTGGTAGGAGAGATGATGGGTTGAAGTCGCATTCGATGTCTACCACAATTGGATCTCCTGGCGAACTCTGTTGAGGAATGGAACCTTGGATAAAAGAGAGAGTGAGAAAAAAAAACATATCGTCTGAGATTGTTCCTAAGCACACAAGTGGATTTTTGTACACAACCTGACGACCGTCCAATTTCGCATCCCTGAAAGAATCCTCACTCCTACCGGAGGGAATACGGTGGTACCGCTTCTAAAATGATGACGCTTTCATCTGCTCCTATTAGGACAAGCAACGTGCCACAGTGTTGCATGTATAATGCTATTGTTGACAGGGACCTAGCTACCACTGGACAGGTGATATATCGCCTCACTATAGTCTAAAGCCTTTTAGAAAATAAGCATCCATAGGCATACTATACAATTTTGTTACATGCATGACAAGTTACATGACTATTCCCCGTGTGTCTTGTTGACGTCGAAGCTGATGAAAAAGTAAAGAAAAGAGACAAAAAAGATAACAGCTGCGCTCAACACAAATTTTGAAGATCTGACATGCATGGAGACAGTCGAGTGGATTATAAAACAATTTTCAATATAGTTTTGTACACATAAGTCATAGACTATTCATGTCGTAAGTATCCCGTAGGAAGGGGAATGTACCAGACGTTTCCTTCTTCAGTCCGAGCTTTTAATTTATCTCCATTATTTGGTGTTTCTTACCACTGTTTGCGTCTTGCAACTCTGCCTGCTTGCGCAGGACGCTCAGCAGTAGCGCCCTCGGGTCGGCCAGGCCCCGGTGTCGGCAGTATACGTCCTCCGAGTCCTCGCAGTAATAGGGAAGCAAGTCCTCGAACAGGCGAGACATTCCGCCAGATGCCACGGCGGCTGTAGATAAAAAAAACACAGGTTGCCTATAGAAGCCAGGAACTCCGCAGGCTGTAACTATGCACAAAGTGTTCTAAACTTCTCCGGAAGAAATCGCATGCTTTCTAAGCAGAAGATTATCGGGACAGTGTAGTTCACTCACAGCATCACAGCGTACACCAAATGTGTGGACAGCAATATTCGAGACCCCAAACAAATAGGGCCTATTTCAATAGCCTGGTCGGAACATTGACAACATGTCGACCTGGAACCCTTTTTTAGGGGCATTCAGGTGTTGCTAACGGAGCCATTCCACTCACAAGATTCATAAATACAGTGAAATAAAACGTCTGGCTTTTCAAAATCTCAAAATTGAGCAATTAACACCACAGCTCTTCTTGTTATACAGAGTTGAAAATCTTAACCCGTGCTTGCACGGGTGAGCTCCAAAGGCTCGCGCACGCGTGTTCACACGCAAAACGTAATTGCAATCAAAGGGTACGTGGATAGATGTCAAAAGGAACACAACGTGAACGGTTCTGACGACACATATCGTCTCGACATCCGTACGAGGCTACGTCCTTTCTTTAAAATGACACCCAAATACATAGCTTACCATTCAGCGCCAAAATTAGCAGTATTCCAGCCTCAGATCGCGTCATGTTGAAATATTCTCACATTTTGTGTCCACGTAAATTGTTTTTTCTCATCTACGAATTCGAAGGGTTGAATAAAAGATTACGGCGATTACTGTACTTTGTCCCGCGGTCTGTTCCGTATTAACTCTATTAACTAACACATTCATGAGATAAGGCAGCAAAATGATAATTTTGTTTTTCTTTGTACTTGAGACTCTCTTCATTTTTGTAAGGTTATTAAGTTCAAAGTTGCATTCATGACTCTTGAAGGATACTCACAAAGTACCAGTGTATGTTCGGGTAAATGGCCTTTCCCCCTAGGTTTGACGTTGAGGTAAGGCCAATGAATATAGCGGATTATAAATAATGGAGCGAGATGGGATGGTTAAAGGACAACCCACAGGAGATGTGATCAGACGCGGTGATGGTTGAGGTGGAGATATGATGTTGAGACTCTTTGCCTGACTGAAGTCAAAGAGAGTTTCTGTTCTTCCAGTGACACTAATATGCACTTTTTAGTAGCCGTCATTCAAGGTTGAAACTGGTATTACTATTTTTTAATCGCAACAAATTGAGATAACTGAAGCACCATCGCAAATTTGTCTATATTAATGTGGGCCTCTTTGTCCCAGAATCTATTTATACCTTCTTGTAACTAAGTGCTTAGTCGTGTGGTACCTTTGCCCATTACCAATCTGTTACGCTCACCATTGCAAGTCCTTATCTCACCTGTTATGGCACCAAAGGTCCCGCGATTTCTTCCCTTTTAACCATTAACAGAAGGCGGCAAATAAACAACGCCATACTGTCGGGTGAGGTTGTCATGGAGCAGACAGTCTAGTTCCTTGCCTTCCAAAATAATTATGAATGACATTTCCTATAGCCGGCAAGAATATCCATATACCAGCGATGGGACAAGAAACGATTTGTTGCTTGCCCAGCCTTTGAACAATGAAAAACGACAGCGACAAAATTGCTCTTCTTTCAGTGTTTCATTTTGTGTTATAGGAATCTTGAGCATTTTAACGGGAGTGCAGTAGGTTCAATGAGCCAGTGTAAATAGCAAATGCACTATACGGGGAGTCCTCGTTAATTAACCACAAATCGCGTTTGATATTTTAACTTTTTGCGATGATTGCAAAAGTAAAGTCTTCGATGGGTCCAGAAAGACAACGGCTGAAAATACCCTTACAACGTCATGGACAAAAGAGTTAGAGTCAAACACTGGCATCAAACAATAATATTTTACCTTAACATATGTTTTATTCAAATTCTGTTTGGATATAAACACACTTTTCTTCAGCACATCAGCAACCAACTAAAGTTTGATTTGTATAACGTTACAAAGTGACATCTCTGGCAGACGCGTGAGGCTTCGTTAGTAGAGTGGTAATAGTTCTTAAATATATGGGAATTTAAATCTCGTTAAGGCAAACATTTGAGTAAAAATCTTCTTTCTATTTCTGACTACCAAAACTGTAGATTTCCGTCATACATTGCCTCTAGTGAGCTGTAGTTTGGCTTTTCATTTTATTGTAAAATGTACAAGCAAGCACAAAAGGCACGTTGTCGGTCGTATTAACTAACCAAACTTGCACAAACATATTAAAAAGGAACAAAGAAAAGAAGTGACTATGTCAATAAAAAATATTGCCACAGTATACTCGGCTTAGTATTGCATAAATGCTACAGTACTAAAATGTTGAAAACAGTCAATATGAATCAAACATTTTTTGACTAAATATTTCTGTTGAACACATCGTTTTCAGCTTTTTGTGGCCCTTATCGGCTGATAACTCTGGCCAGTTGGTAAAACCGTCTTGTTTTCCACAAAAAGTATGTTTTTCACCTACTTAATTGGTAATAAATGTACCAGAATGTTTCACCTTAGATGCATTTATGACATTTTATCCGGACAAAAGAATGTGTAATTTGAAGTTTCTTTGGGGAACTTCGGCCTATTTACACGATATACACGACCGATGAAAGGAAAAAATATGAATAACCAACCTCAATGTAAACGTTATGAGTCATCAATTTTGTAGTACTTAAATAAATCGCAAAGAATCTGTGCATAGTTCGACTATTTTGCTGTTTAATATAGAATAATGGTTCAATCCGAAGAAGACATGCGAATTGCAAAGTTTTAAGGTCAGAAAAAGGCATAACACATTCGGCTTCGCGACTGACTTCAACGATGTGCACCCAGACTAGAATGAGGATGAAACTTTGGGGGGGAGCTTTTAATTGAAGATCCTCACAGCCATGTTGTTTTTCCCAGTGACGTCCATTTTAAAAGCAGCACGCAGAAATGAGACCGTTCACACTGATCTATCTGATCTGAATACAATGCGCAGGTATGTACTTTCAATGAAACAACGATGAATATCCATCATTAAAAAATGAAGAACAAGGACGCTGTGACCCGGGCGCCCATGCGCAGACGCGACGGATTGCCGGTACGTACACCCATTCAGGGGATGTGCACGCATGTTTAAAACATTAAATTGCCTCTTTTATAAATTCCTTTGGGGTCTCTAATAGTGCCAAATCTTCCCTTCACTCCTTTCCAAATAAGGTTGAAAAGCTTAAAACTTAACCACTTACTCACATTAAATCCCGTATGTTTGATCGTATCTTTAAAAAATGAGACAGGAGAGCTGATGGACCTTAACCAACCCGGTGAAGGACATACTCGGTGGCGAAAGATAGCTTTGCAAGAATGACTATTTCGTCAACCTTGCTACAGATACCCAATTTCTTGCTCTTAAGATAGCCATAAAAATGATTTGAAGCAACATCTTCTGTAGTGAAGTTATTAACACAAGCGTTGATGTTTGTAAGAATTGTAATCTGCCATATGCAATCTGAATGTGTAGGCCCGACAAAAGAAGGAATCTTAAGATTTGTAAATGTAATGTGAGAACATTTTTTCCTTGGTCTACGGTTCAATGTACAAAGAAATCATTGCGACACATTGTTCTCTGCAACTGACAAAGATAGTTTCAACTACTTTCAAAGCCTGCGGATTCCCTGAACCCGTCGTGCATGGAAGCCACTAGATCCTAACCTCCCCGTGCTTCTCCCGCTCGTTATTTTCGGCCTCGAGCCCGTCGTTTGACATGGCCAGCTGCGTGCCGTCTGTGGAGTCGTCCACCTCGTACTCTTTGCTACCTCTGTTGCCACGGCAACTGGACCACATCAAATACACCACGACAAGGAGGACAATGAAGGCGCACCCACAGCCCACGCAGATAGCAACGATCGTCATGGTGTCCATCGGCTCGTAAACTGGCGCTGTGGATCAAGCAAAAAAGACTCAATTTTAAATCATACGCTCTACCGTTCTATAACGTTTACACCTTCTTGCTATAAATGCATTCACCTCAGGAATCCTTACAGGTTTAATTTCAGTCAACAACCGCATCCGTCAATACCCTGACCGCATGGTGTTAATCATATACATTCTCCCGTCTACACACACGAAATCAAATCTCTACGTACGTGCTTCGCAATGCGATCCGGGATATCCCTTACGACAGCTGCACGTATAGCTTGTACCCGTGGGAGTGCAAGTCCCTCCGTTCAGACAGGGCGAGCTTGCACACATGTCGACCTCTGTAAGGTGGCAGAATAATACATTGCGGTGTAGTATTATCATTCAGATGTGAGAAGAGGAAAACAGATGGGCCAATTTCACAGAGATGCTTAAGCATGAAAAGTGCGAAAAAACCTTACTTGATAAATCAGGTAACCAGCCAAAACTCCATGTTATGTATATTGTTTTGGGATCGTATTTAGCTGTTTTTGGTTAGCATGACTAGGCCTATCAGATAGAGTTTGCGCTGGTAGCCTTTGTTTATTAAGCAAAGTTTTTCCCGCTTAAGCAAATTTTGTGCTTAAGCAGCTCTATGAAATTGGCCCTGCAGGTACCTTCTGATCCAAGTATTTTGCTTCATTTTCACACAGCCTCATTTTTTTGAGAGAACTTTAATAACTTTATGATAACTATATGCCTTTGTACTGCCAGCGAATACTTGAATTTGTAGATGGAGACATGTCTTACCCATGCAGTCATTTCCAACCAGGCTGATGTCATCGATGGCAATGTCACCTTGTGGTCCATTGCCCACCACGCCCTCAAAAGTGATCTGCACAGACCCATATCATAGGAATGGTTTTTAATTATGTTAACTGGCTAACGAGTAACAGAACTGCTTATTTTCGGTGCGCTAACGTACGCACAGTCGAGTTGTTTTCGAATTGAAAATGTATTTGTTAAAAGTAGCATAAAGCGTCTCATAATTCGAGATAGACAAGTTGACAAACTTACTTTATATGGCCCGGCTACATTTTTAAGATCGATCTCATGCTTCTTCCACACATCTTGACTTGTCAGAGGTACTTGATTCACTTGGTCGGACACGGCCACGTTCAACTGGCCCAGGTTTGACCCAAGTGAATGGTAGTAGAACTCCAGTTTGCACGCCGACCCTTCCATCTTGTAAAACTTCAGAGCGTCGAGGATTGCTTTGTCGCCAGCCGTGTGGTTAGAGGCTTCTATGTACATGTAACGGCCTTCAAGAGAATGGAGAATGCAGTTTTGTCTCCTTGTGTCCTCCATCCATTTAAATCTACAAAGTATTGAGTTCAGTTTATCTCCCATATCGCCTTCTTTTTGATGGTTGGCCAAAGTTTGTCGAAATGATAAGTTTCCTTGGTTGAACCGGCTTTTCCTCAATTTGTCTCATTACTTAGGGGAGCATATGTTTATTTGTTGATAGTTGCGTGGTAATTTGTGACAATTTGTGTTAATTCCGACATACAGTCCTTGGTCAGGATATCTTTTTTGTTCCGTCTGAAATTCAAAATGATAGAATTTCCTGTTTTTGTAACCAGTTGGCCTACCCAGGAGACCAAGGTGGAATGTGTGCGCAAAGGTCATCTTTCCCACATTTGTCTTATCGGCTAGGTCCCATTTTGAAAGTGACGGTCCACGATGTCACCCAAGAGTTGCACTTACCTATTTTATCTTGTCCAAAGGTGTGGTCGTACATAGGGCCAGTGCCGGCAGTTGGTGTTTGGCCGCTCTGCCTCGTCCAGTCAAATTGATCGACGGTGTTATGAGATACTTGGTCAAGGAAGCAGAGGTCACCATAGAGACTGCCCTCGAAATCACAGCTTTGTGGCACCTCTGTTTCAGGGAAGAAAGAGCAATAGGAAATTTGAATGAGTCCTGTCTTTTGTGAAACTGGCAACTTCGGATCTTTAAACCCACTTTCTTGTGAAATTTTGACCCCATTTAAAATTGAGAATCATTTTCTGTAGAAGCGCGTTGCTATGAAAACTCTCGGATCGGCAGGATATATTGGCTCTTTTTCAAACCTTGATCGCCCCTCCTGGCGAGTACAGTCTGTTTCGGTTGTCCTGTTCAACAGCGACAACTCAAAATACAAACCAACCTCGATACTTCGTCCGTGTTGGTACTGTCACCAACTGTTCCTTTATATGTTGAAGCTGAAACGCTTATTTAACAACTAAAAACACTCTCATAAATATATCGAAAGAGGCTTCGTATAGAACATAATTATGTTAGTGGTTGGGTGGCTGAAAATGTATCAATACCATTCATGTCAAATGCCGTAATAAGTACTTGACTTGTAAGCAACCAAGCAAAACAAAGCAAGACAAAAAAGGCGAAGTCGAGCTTCTAGCTTTTACAATTGCAATTAACATTACATTAGCTGAACGGTACTGTGTCACTGACTTACTTCCAGTCTGAAGCAAGACGTCATCTAAAGCAAGATAGGCGTTATTTGAGTCAGTCATTCGTGCTTCGAAAGCAATCTATGAAAATAAAAGACAAAACCTGTTTGAATGGAATGACGTGGTCTGAAACTGATAGCTGGGTCTACGCATCTTTCCGCTAACCAATCAACCTTTAATCCTAGATTTCGATATAATGTAAACCTCGTACAGGGTCCATGGTTCTTTTGCACAATTACTTTTTATTTACCACAAAAAACTTGTTACACACATTTTATATCACGGCCCTGATGGTTACAGCAATGTTTCCTTCTTGTAACACTCGTCTGCTGTCTACTGAACACAAAGCATTTTCAATCGTGAAAAACGATTAGTATCTATTTTTTTCTTCTTATACATCTGTAGAAATGTTTCAACTGCATTTGATAATTTTGGATAGAGTGGTGTTTTTTACCTTTGCGCTGAATGAAAGAATGAAGAGAATGGTAAGATGAAAAAGTTGTAAGGACTAATGTGAAAGATACAAAGGAATGGCGGCATGATTAATCTCTGAGGGTAGCCTATCCTAAGATGAAGCAGCAGCCAGAGAGTATAACAAAACTATGTGGAATACCGACGGGTGTCGAGGGCAGACCAAATGCTACGAAATGAATTGTTTTTGAGGAAAGAACTGCAATAAGCAACAGCGACAAGAGGATCATCGTCACTCACCTGAAATTTGGCGGGATAATTTATGTTCATTCTGGCCTTTTGCCAGGGGTCAAATCTCTCCATGGAAACCCCTCCGGCAGGGAATGACCAAACGGTCTCCATGGGTTTGGAGGACTCTTCGTGGACGATCTTCACCGTCAGATTGGACCGTGCGGAGCTGCTGTGGTACCAGAACGTCAGCACCGTGTGGGGAGCATCTCGGCTCCCTGAAATCATCGGCGTCAACATTCTCGACAAAGTGCCCTCTGTCCCCGCAGTCCGAGCGTAGTATTCATCTGAATTAAGGAATAACAAAACAAAGTTTTCTAAAGGGTCCATGAAAAAATAGGACAACAAAATTTACACGATAAGCATCTGTCGTTTTAAGTTCAGAAAATAACGAGACACTCTTCTTGATATTTTCATGGGCATTTTTCTCACCGTTTGCAACTGACACACGAAGCCGTTGTTTCTGTGATTAATTGCACCTTAGCAACCCACTCACCATGAAACACCCTTAAAAATGGTAACGTGAAGAAGTGTCAGGAACGTCAATTGGCCCGAAAGATGCACTCGAAAGGTGTAGATATATATTTTTTTTTCATAACGCATGTAAACCCTTTCATGACATAAATCTCCATTTCAAGATGTGATTATCAATACACTGGGGCATATAATCTTCGGAATTTTGTCTACACACGGGGGGGTGACTGATCCTACAAAATGAGATCCATCAGACACTCACCTCCAGAATGATCAGTCAACGGACCAACGTTGGTTAACAACACATACTGTCTCGCCCATGTGGCTGTGACTTCGCCCTCGACTGGCTCGCTCTGCCAACCACACAGATCCAGGGGCAGGAAATCGCACTGTATCTCCGTGGTGGCATTCTGGACGGGATCTTCACCTGTGGAGAGAATTAAATTGAGAAGGCCGTGAGGGAACGAAGGAAACAAGACTGCAATGATCACATGGACGCGTTCCCTTCAGCCTATTGAAAGCTACCGGTAAATGGGCCGCGTGTGCGAAACGCGGAAACACGGCGAAGCTGGAATCCTTCTAACCTGCAAATAACCCAGCTGTTGCCAACAAACAAACGGCAAGAAATACGTATTCGGCTGACATCTTCCCTTCAAGGAGAAAAAACTCAAGGATCCCAAATGGCAAGCTTCGGAATCAGGAAAACTCCAGGAATAAATTTAATCCTATGATTGGTCACAAAAATGTCTTCCTGCATGCAGAATGGATTCCGCTCGAGTACACTGCAGCTCAAAGTGATTAATTATTAACACAAAAAGTCCCTCCTAATTCCAAAGTACAGGCTGATAACTACTGATTGCATGCATGCGTGAATATTTTAATTTAGAACACTACACAGCGCAGTATTCGGACACGCGTAAGCACAGAGGAATCTTCATCGACCAACCACGCAAGAAGAGGAGGGGTATGACCTCCTTACAACCTGAACAGCGACGGGGCGAGTCGTGCTGGCTGGATGGAAATCAGCTGACAGCAAAGTAAACGAAAATTAGAAAAAAAAATTAGACAACGTGGCGTTATTCGTAATAACCTCCTGTGTCAACGGTAATGTGATTGGACGACAAAACCAACAAGGGTGAGGTGGGGGGGGTCCCACACAAGCGCCCTTCTCACATCATTCCTGTCTACACACCTACTTAAAAGGCTCATTTGTCATCCAGGGAATCAGCTCTCAATTAAACAAGGTGTATTATTCAAAAGTACTAATCACATGAACAATATTATGGATAAAACGTCATGCAGAATTGAAGAAAATTATCAATTCACCGTCTCAGAAACATGTCTCTTAAGTTCCTGATTGGCACAAACTGTGGTGTTAATTTAATACCCTTGTTATAATGTAACCATAAAAGGACCAGTGGTCCTATAGAAATAGCAAAGGACGTGAATTTAACACCAGTGTTACAGTGTGCATGTAGAGAGCATACCCTACCCAGATAGGCCTGTGTATTAAATCAGCGGGCGAATTAGAGTTCAAAGGTGTTCCCTCCTGATAATGATACATATAATCAAGAACCATTGTTAGTATGATTATGTACGCTGTAACTATGCGGGGAACAATCACGAACGATACTGATATCAGTCTCCGTAATCAAACCTGTCACTGTTTGTGTAAACTCGTGTAGTTTCCAAGACTTAACAATTGAGATAAGAATTAATGGAAAAAATGATCCTGGATGGACCTTTTTCAAGTCCGACAGATGTATTGTGTTCGATCAGAGTACAGGTAAAAATAGGGGAACAGTAAAAACGACATCGCTACAAAGTAGTTTCATTCAGGTTTCATTCAGAAAAATATGGAGACTCTCATAATTCACGCAGGCAAGTCCCAACACAAACAATGATACAAACCAGGAAAAAGACTGACACAAGAAACTGCTTTTCGGTTGATACCATACATGTGTAGTGCCTTGCTAATGTGCAAAATTTTCAAAGTTACTATAGCACCAGACTACCTGACGATCCATCTTTTTGAACTGATAATAAAAAAGAAGTTTGGACACGTGCTAATCTGGTCTTAAGCATCAAACCTGAAGTCAGCCTGCTTCAATCTTGGCAAAAATGTAGAAGAAAGGACTTTGAGGTGAAACCTCAAAATTGGCAGTTGAAATTCACGTAATGCTATTTTGCCTCGTGCAATGTTGGATGATTGCGTTTGCCGAAGTTTTTCACGTGTCCCTGTAAGTCGTGCGGTGCGTGCTTTCTTCTTTGTGTGATATTTTATCAGGGTCGTTGGAGTGGGACATTTACCTCTCTCGCAAATTGGCGGGACGTCCCATCCGAGGCATTCGCAGGTGAAGCTGTCCCCGTCTGGCGTGCAGATTCCCCCGTTGAGACAAGGGGAGCTGGTGCATGCGTCAAACCCTGCAATGTCACAACGAGAGGAAAAATCCTGGTCTCTCTTGGAAAGACAAATGCCAATGATGGTTCTTTTCAGCCCCTGATCCTATTTAAAGTTTGGGTCTAAATAGAGCCAACTACATGTAGATGACATAATGCATCTGATTTTAACGAAATAACGACGTTGTGGAGGGCGTCATGTCGGAGAGGGCGCCTTTAAGGGCTATTAGTCAGAGCTCTAGTTACTAGAAGCGCCAACTTCAGACTTCATTATGTGGGCAGTACAACATGCAACAATCTGGTGTTCATTTTCCATGTACACTGACGCATAATCCATCACTTCGGTTCCAACACGAGACACTCATGTGACAACTCTATCTATAAACAGCTCTGGGCTCAGTGTAGAAAGTCCACAAGGCATTCACCTGTCACTGGTTAACCTAGTGATTAAACATGGGACTTTAATCATCCAAACAATTACGTGACTAGTAGAGGTGCCTCACCTGTGCATTTATCTCCAACTAAGCTGATGTCATCAATGGCGATGTCCCCGAGGTTTCCGTCACCCCTCATTCCTTGAAATGCTATCTAAAAAAAGACACCCAAAACCACTCGATCCGTCTGAACACAACCTCGACCTCACGTTTGTCTGGTTTTTATACACCACAAAAATGTATTCCTTTGTGCCTTAACCCAAAAGAAAACGGAATACCAATTACCTTCCCAAGTAGCCACTGTAGGTGCTGGGTTAAGTTTAACATGGGTAACTTGTTATCTTTGATAGTTTCCCGGACAAAATAGAGAGTTCAGAAATAGTCAGTCTTTATGTTACTTTTACTGGTGGTAAAAAGGAAGGATGGGTCTGGTCAAATCTGATACCTGATCTGGTTTCTTGATAATTATTTCAAGTAATGCTTTGAGACTTAAATCATTAGTACGGAACACCACCTAAGAGGCATACAAACCCTGAATGTCCCGACTACGTGAGTCAGATCAAGTTCATACTTCTTCCAGCTGTCCTCGCTTGTCAGACTTATCGCGTATTCTTGGCCGGGCAGCCACACGTTCAGGCCCCCGATATCGCTCCCGAAGGCGTGGTAGAAGAATTCCAGTTTACAGGGGCTAACGGACAGCTTGCTGTACTCCATACTATACAGCACCGCTGTCTTCTCCTCTTCGGGACGGGTGGCTTCGATGAAAAGATAGTGCCCTACAAGCAACCAAACAAAAGCAGACAGAATAGGATGGAGATGCTGTCCAGAGGATTGGAGTTGTGTTTAGAGGAGCAATATCCATGCAGTGCACTTCTCGTGTATGTGTTTGCTCAAGAATTTTGAATACTTCTACCCGAGATTAACTTGTGGCCTGGACAGAATTGCCAAGTGTGGCATCTCACATTGGATCCTGTATGGCTCTGTCGTCGTAAACAGAAAATGAATGCACAGGGTGATACGTGGGCTTATAGTCCATCGTAACCTATCCAGTCTTACTGGCCTCGAGCTCGACCAAGAGAGAGCGCTATATTCTTAGCAACGGAGGCTCCTTTGGGCGGAACTGAATTTCGCTGGTTTACGGACTACTAGGAAATGAACGCGTCACTGTCGCATCGCTACCGACAAAATGAGCACTCCCGACCAACACGGCTCTTTTCAACCGGTGAGGGGGGTGTTCCTGCTCCTACAGTTATTTATACATGCATATTTTTCTACCTATACAGGGTCCAGTTTAGGGCAAAACTGTTTCTGCCATTCAGTGGTTTCTTTCTACAATGGCTTGCCCGGTCTTTCTTCCAGTAATTACGAGCATGTATGGCTCCTTTATGAGGTTACGACTTACCATTTCCTCCCTTTCCCAAGGTATGATCGAAAAGCGGGCCCGTGTCAAGAGAGGGCGTTTCTCCGCTCTGTAGCGTCCAGTCAAAATCGTCGACGGAGCTCTCGGCCAGTCCAGCTTGGTAGAACTGGCACAAGTCGCCGAAAATGTTGCCTTCGAAATCACACGTCTTGACAACCGCTGGAGCCATAAACGGATACACAAGGAAACTGAAATGGCTTCTCTGAAGGAAACCCCAAAGTTATTTTCTTAAACAAATTACCGTGACGTACAGTGAAACGAAAGTGTTGTAAAACAAAAACTCACGTCCTGTTTGAAGAAGAACATCATCCAATCCAAAGTACTCGGTCTCGTTGTTCTGCATTTCGGCATCGAAGGCAATCTGAAAGAAATCAGAAAATCTATATCAATCATATCTTTCAATCGACAGTATTCTGCCCAGTGGGGGCAGATATCAGCATTGAACAAATCAAAGTAAATACTTTGTCTTGAGGAAATTTATGTAAATAAAAATCAGGTCACAAAATAGGTTAGCACTTTGCTTCCTTTTTACAGAGCTGAACTATTTTGTGCTCAACTGCATATCAGCGAATGAGCAGACTTGAACAATATACCAACTACTGCAATAAGTTCAGAAAAGGAAAAAAAATTGGCCGTGCTCGGAATCCATCCTTCAGCGATAAACTAAATGACCATTGCCGCAAGAGTGTCTTGAATATAAGTATATTACGCAGAAAATGTAAAAAGTGAGACAGTGGATGTGCATTACTGGTAGCAATTTGTACAAAATAGCAGCATATTTGGTATAACGATCACTCGGAGACAAACCAAACGAGATGTTGTACAGTCACTTTTCCGACCACCAAGCAAAGGTTTACACAGCCAGGACCACTGTATGTATCTCTTGCTATTAAGCTTCAGCTGCAGTGTAATGTCAATTACATTTCGAAATGAATCTTCCTCTGCTGTTATGAGCTTTAGAAGTTTAGATAGATCTAGTTCCTCAAACCACGAATTATTAGGCGTATCGATTCCTGGGTACGTTTCACTCAATTCAGACTCAATTTAACTCATTGGGGAAGTAAACAATGGGAGTTTTGCTCCAGATTTTAACAGGCCATAAAATTACCTGAAACTTAGCGGGGTAATTGATCGTATGTCTAGCAAGCAGCCACGGATCTCCCCTTCCAAGTGCCACGCCTTCCTTAGGGAGAGCCCATATGATCCTGCTTGGCTTAGTCTGGTCCTCGTGGATTATGCTGACGGTGAGGTTGGCAGTGGTTGAACCCACGTGGTACCAGAAAGACACCACCGTGACTGGCGCGTCTGGGTTGCCTTCAATCATCGGTGTCAGGAGACGCGCGACCTGCCCCTCTCGTCCAGTCGCCGCGGCGTAGTAGGTATCTGGTAAACAAGATGACGAGAATGCACTTCAAACATTGCAAAGCATTGTGGGTTGTTGTAGCTGCCTTGATCAATGCACGTGTCAGTGTCACATGATTATGGAAGAATCACGTGCTCTTGGAAGTGTCCACTCCTGTCTTTGTTAGAGCGTATGACATCCAGTGATGGCTCGAAGAAAATTAAGCCCTACATCCAGAGAGGAAATAACTAGCCTCTCCTCCCTTCTGGTACGACGTTGGGGGCGTTGCATTGACCCTCTCTGTCTGAAACTCAAAAATTAAATTTGAAAAGGCAGATAGAGGACAGGACATACCTCCCGAGTGATCAGAGAAGGGGCCATAACCGAGGCCGGTTGTGGAAGGGTCGGAGATGCTATCAATGATCGTAGTCAGAAAATCCACCCTCTTCCACCTGGCGGTTATGCCAGGAGCAGTCTCGCTCGTCCAGTCGCACAACCTCGGTGGCTTAAAGGAGCATTGGATTTCCGAGTACAAGACGTCTGCTACATCAGCACCTGCAAACCAGGATGCAGTCCGAACTAATGCGGGCTCGAGAGGGATTTCTTAAACTCTAATAAAAGCCCTCTTTGCCTTTAATGTTGAGACGAGTAACCCAAAGGGATGAATGAAATCGAAGGAAAGTGCTAATGAAAAATTGCACAAATAAAAATACACAGATGCATCCTTTGGAATTGCTTTCGCATTATGTTTTCACCCTATTTTAGAGTTATCGACGATACCTCTACTGGCTTGTAAATATGAAATGAATCCTGCAATTTTCTGCTTTTGACACTTTCCGGAGGGCTGTTAAACAGTGGCTTAAGTTTGGAACTTGGGTGGGGAGGGGGTTTTGGGACGGGGGAAAAGTGGGGAATGGCTTGCCCCTTGCACTCTAAAAACTCTGGGGTCAGATTGACCCAGAATCGGGTCCCCTTCGGCGAGACGCTTTTCTGGGTCAGATGACAACCCAGAAAGGGTCAAATACGACCGGAAAGGGGGTCACTTCTTGACGCAGAAAAGGGTCACGGCGATTGGGACCCAATTTTGGGTCAATCTGACCCCGGAGTTTTTAGAGTGTGGGGGATGACAGTAGAGTTGTATTCAATTAATACGTCGCTATGCTGATTGCCAATGCTCTGCCCATTTAACTCAGGCGAGGACAGTGCGGCCAGGCCGCTGAAGTGGTTCTTTCTTCAACCTCCAACTCTATGGCCCAGTCTCACATCCCAAGCGTGCAGGTCAACATGTGAACAGATATAAGACCATGCCACAGACTCAGGTACCTTGTAACTGTAAACTTGTAGTGAAAAGTTTCCATACATTCGGCCTGAAAGTACTTGCCCCAATCCTGTACAGTTCCAACCATTCCTGCTCATTTCACGGGTAATAAACTAGGGCATTGGACATCAGAACCAGACAACCCCGTAAGAACTCAATATTTTCACACTAACCTGTTGTCGACGAAATCACCAGTCCAATGCAAACCAAGGGTAGAATTTTGATGAACATGACTCTCGATGAAGACCTGTTATATATCTGCATCAATGAGGTCGAACCTGTTTTGATACATGTATATGTCTTGCAGTGCTTAGTTTGGGGTCAACGCAATCAACAACAGTAACACTGGGCTTTTTAATCTTCGGTTCACGGTCCAGACCTATATGGTATCATAACGCGGCTGGGCAATATCTATTTACACTTCTGTCGTTACTTCGGGTGGAAGTTTAATCATTAACAAAAAATGAGGGAACTTTTAAGCTATGCGAGAAGTGCGTATATCCACTACCAACAGCGACTATCTCTGTCGGTAACAAAGGTTTGTGGAATGATGACGCCAAACTCGAAATCAGTGCACAGTACTCTTCTGATTTGCTGGGTAATAAAGATCCGAAGGCGATCAGAGGACAGGGTGCAAAGGCTGACCCGCCCTGGAAGTTGACTCGGCCACTGTAAGACTTCAGGAAAACTTGCATAGGCCCTTATAACATCTTTACTGAGCGTCAGGTTTGCATCTAGCTCGCGCTCGCGTGGTAGCTAATAAAATGCTCAGTCCAAAGGCAACTCGTCAGCAGCCTGCATATAGCAGGTGCCCAGCTTTTGAAGGAATGTTGCAAATACTTTTTTGGTCATGACTGTGCATCGGTAGCGGAAATATCATTACCTTTAAATGAAATTATTTAATTATATTTTTTTCACCTCACCAATATCTGACTACCATTATCTTTATTTATTTCTGTTCCTGATAAATCTTCATAATGGAAATGTAAAACTACCGAAATCAAGAGGGAAATCTTCAGTGGAAATGAAAGGGATTTCATTCATCAACAGGCCATCAGTCCCAAGTCGAATAAGGCCACGGTTATTGAAATAACACTAACTGAGAGGAGTAAAAACAGGCAAAAAAGCCAGGTAAATTGATTGAAGTCTACAAACCAGGAAGAGTTTGTTTGTTCTGTTCCCAGAAATGATACAATGTATGACACGATTAGCTTTGAAATTGGCCACAAACGTTTACGTAAAAACGAACAAAAAGCAAAACATAGTTTAGATGTGAATCATCGTTATTTCCTCCTCGGCACGTAGCCCGGTAGATCTATGTTGGAGCGCTAGTTACTGCAAGGAAAACATCAATCATGTAATTAAAACGAAAGGTGTGAAGCTGTTTGAGCAAAAGTAGTAGTGTCACCATAGAAATAAAATCAGCTTCATTTCCTCATTCTGACAGTCTTGCCAAGGGGCCCAAGCTTACCGCACTGAAGCTTGGAGTCACGGTAGCCAAACAAAGCAAAGATTCTGCTTTTTTTTACCGTAACTGCTGGCTTATTCACCATGACAGAAAGCATTACAAACGCGTCTACAAATTGCTCGTCGGCTGATTTGTTGTCAACTGACGGAGCTTTCACGAAGTATGACTTTCACCTTGAAGACCCAGTCCAAAGGATCATCATCGGCTGTGTCTACACCCTGGTGGCCGTTGTAGGCTTCGGGGGAAACCTCCTGGTGATCCTGGCGGTTATCATGTGTAGGAAACTCCAGACTCGCACCAACGCCTTCGTGGTTAACCTGGCCGTAGCCGACTTCTTGACGTGCAACACGGCACCATTCACGGCGCTGGCACTGTTCAGCTTGAACGGATGGCCTGAGGACGTGCCGCTGACTGTTTGCGCTGTCATGGGTAGTCTTTTCTTCGTCGGTCTGGGAGGTAGCGTTATGAACTTGGCTGCAATCGCCATAAACAGATACGTTCTCATAACCAAGACAAAAGCCACCTACTGCTCCATCTACACCCCAAAGAAGATGGCAGCTATGCTGGCCTTCACGTGGCTATACCCTGCTGTTTTAGTCTCTTTACCCTATTTCGGGTTCGGCAAGTGGGGATACTCCGAGAAATACAAGACTTGCATCAACCAGGAGGACTCCTTGAAGACTCAAGATCTCTACAGCTTGGTGGCCTCTCTCGCCGGGTACCCAATCCCTCTTATCATCTTGTTGGTGTGCTACATCAAGATCTACCTCCACATCAGAGGCCACTTGAAGAACATGAAGGCTAAGGGAATGAGTATCGAGATGATTTACCTGTCTAGCTCCAAGACTACAATCCGACCGCAACCCCCAAAGAACCCCCAATCCACCAGGTTTAGCAAACTACAGGTGGAGATCACAAAGAATTTGTTCTACGTGATCTGTGCTTTCGTGGCATGCCTGGCTCCTTACGCTATCTCAAGCATGATCTCTTCTAGCGATCCGGCAATTCCCTGGACTGGAATGATGGTCATCTTCAACAGCAGTGTCAACCCGATCATCTACGGGGCCAAACACCCACACTTCAAGGGGGTGCTTCGTCAGATGTTGCGGTGCCGGTACCATCAGATCCCCGAACCTTCCAGCTGTCTGCGCAAGATCATATCCCGATAGATGCATACCCTGTCAATATCAGTTGATTTACAAACTTTCGCTGATCAGGTTTGTTGATTTAGTTCGTTGTTCCCACGTCGTTACTTCTAGGGCATCATCATTCCTCGGCCCTTTCCTTCTTTGCCAGGGGCGGATCCAGAATTTTCCAGGGGGGGGGGGTGATCCTGGATTTGCCAAAAGGGGGCTATGAACTAAATCAGTAACGGTAAAATGCCCTCACGGCGTGAGGTATCGTCCGGAGCCACTTTGTGTTAGGCGCTCTGTGGTGGAATTTTCAGAAACCTCTTTATACTTTTTTTAGAATTTATATATCTTGATTAAAAGGGGGCGTGCGAGCTCCATGCCCCCTGGATCTGCCCCTGTTTGCTTATTCTTGGCTGTCAGTTTCAACATCTTTTTAGCCTCCTGTCAGTAGCTAACTTTAAGGGCAATGCGTGTACATAGATTTCACACTGTAGTGAATTCCTGAACAGCTTTAGCGTTGCAGTCCTGCCCTGGCTTTTTCAGAGGTCGGTTAATCCCCCTCTTTGTTCAGACCTGCGGCTTTTATAATTGAATTCACTGGACAGGGTAGGGCTCTTCATTCCAGCAAAGTAAGTATAAAAGCTTAATGCATGCAGAATGCAACATTCACTCCTTCGCTGTGCAGCCGAGCTTCCACAAGTCACTGGTCCACTACTTCATCTAGCAGCCATTTTTTTCTTAGTTCAACTTGTGTACAGATGCGGGGATAGGATCTGATTAGGCAGTGTTTTCTCCCTACGGTGACTGTTCCCGCGGAAGGACACATTTCCTTAGTATTAATTATTGTACATATTAAATCTTCACTGTTTCGTCGAGTCAAGAAGCGGCCGGAGAAGACCGAGACTCAAGTTTTTCCTTCAGGGGTAATTGTTATTATCTTTATTTAATTAAATTAAAGACCTCTAAAACACCTGAACATATTTGGCCAAATACCTACGCCCGCTATATTCTCACTTTTTAGGCCTACAACAACCATTCGAATTCCTGGCATCTAAGGGTATTTCTGCTGTGTTTATTACAGGGACTTAATCAACCAGATATTGATCTGTCAAAGCAGTAGAAACATAGGATAAGTGTTTATATGATTGATATCAATTAGAAAAACCATATTCGTGTATCAACTTTATTTCAGGTAAATGACGTTAGCTAGCAGTTTGCATTAACTTCGTATCTTTTTTAAGTTTAGCCGATTTTTTAGTTTTTAACCAATAGAAGTTCAAAGCAATAATCATCAAAATTTTCAAGTGTTTAACTCAATCTGGACATATAAAAGTAATTTTCTCGGCCAACAATCCACCCTCACAGATCACTGGCCTTAGTGGGAGCAACTGACCTCATTCACAGGTCGGCCATATTGAATTGAAAGGAAGGTTAATTTCTTGATTTGGAGAATCTAAGAATAAAAGTGAAAGTAATGAAAAAAATTTAGTACAGATTGATGTCATTTACGATAACTAATAATTGAAAATTAGTGATTTATTCTAAACGTTTTAAGCAAAAAAAATGAAAGTGAAGCTCAAAATTTTTAGCACTGAAAATACCGTGGCTCCTCTTAATTGGAAAGATTACATCGAGTAACTAGATTCAATGAACATGAACAAATTGGCTTCCTTGTGAATGGTCTGTTGCAAGTTGTTAATTTGTATTACAGGGTTTACGTTTTTTGTATGAGGTAAATTCATCAATACAGGCAAATCACACCAGAAGGGCGCCTCAAAGAGTTACACCGATTACAGTGCACGAAATCTATCGACCCTTATCAAACGCACATTGGGTCGACAGATTTCGCGCAATGGGATAAGTCAACGTGTTGTAAACTCTTGGAGGCGCACTATTGTGAAACGTCTGTATTTATATTTTTTGATTTGATCAATTGATGGGTCCTGCATGTATAGGATAAAAAAGTAATAAACAGCCTCTTCAGACAATGGGGATCTCAAATGCCCAGACAGACGTCCCATCTCTAGTTAGGCCATAGGCCTATTTAGCTCGAGAAAGAAAATTATCAACCATTGTACTGAGAATTATCAACTATGGTACCGAAAATTATCAACCAATTTATCGAAAATCATCACCGTTGCACCGAAACTTATCAACCATTGTACCTAAAATCATCAACCATTGTACCGAAATTCATCCACCGTTGTACCTAAAATTATCAACCATTGTACCGAAAATCATCAACCATTGTACCGAAATTCATCCACCGTTGTACCAAAAATTATCAACCATTGTACTGAAAATCAACAACCAATGTACCGAATCTTCCTTTCTGCCAGAGTGCCGAGGACAAGAAGGTCGCTACTTCCACGTGTCACCTAAAGTGGTCTAGTGGTCAAATTCTGAATTTGCAATATGTAAACATTTAACACTTATGCTACAGCCAGTAAAATGTACATTTGATTAGCGATTTCATTTACTGACGGACGAATTTACAATAGAAGTTCAGACGACTTGTGTTAAAAATGTAGTTTATTTTTTCACGACATCGACAAAAAATTATCAAGTCTCTGTTTCAGCACTACAGCACACTTTTATGTGTAATAATAACTAACTTCACGCATATGTTGTACGATTATAATGTATAAACACGTAACATTTCACACAATGCTATGTTATATACAAGCGAACAACTTAATTAAAAAATTATGACAAACGTAGTACTTTGCTATTCTTTCGAAAAGTTTATTTTGTTATCGAAGGGGTTGTCCGGTCATATTTGGTTGACTCGCATCACGTCCTGCAATCTTCATCCGAATCCAAGTCATTTTACGATTGAAGACGAGACCTTTTAACCTCAATTTATTTTCTTTGTCCAATTTTGAAACACTTAGAGTTGTCCCACCCGCTTGTCACCGAAGTTCCGCTGGCAAATACAAAAAAAACACATTGTAATAGTCTCAGAGCATCATGCAATACCTTTTTTTCGGTAGCTTACTTAAAAAAAGGGGAATAAACCTCCTCTGTTGGGTTTTCCGGAAAATGCAAGTTACAAGTACCAGAACTAAAATCAGCGTAACGACTGCGTTTTTAGGAGTTCATTCACCATCCTTTTCATCCACAGAATATATTTGAGAGAACATCTAAAGTTCACATTTAGGTGTAGCTGTGCTCGTGCGTGCGCTGTTTGACATACCATATGTGGACCTAAGAACAAAAGACTTTTACCGATGTAGGATTTGAAGACTTTCTGAGGACTTCCAAATGCTCATGAGATACTGAGCCATCCTCTTCAAATAGGGAAGACCCGTGTTTGGGTCAGGCACATTAAAAGCGCGTCTAGAGGCTTAACCGTCAAACAGAGCTAGGATTGTTAGCTAAAGCACAGTACTCATTAATTTGTAGAGAACTCATGGACCGATCCGTCCATCCAACAATCCTGTACCGTCCTCTAGCCACACGGGATCTATCGTCCGAAGAAAGGGTTCACGGTGCGGTAGTGACAGCCACCTGGTTGTGGCTCGTAGTCTAATGTCTCTGTCTTGAAACCACCCTCACCGGCCAGCAGACACGAAACACGGGTTGCCGGTATGCAGCCAGTGCACCTGTAGGTAACATGCCACAACGAAAGATAAAAATGGACGGTGTGATGGATAATAAGTTGAAATCGTTTGAAAGCGCTTGAGAGAAAGGCGATGATAAACCAGTTCAGGTCATTTCTGAATTACTTGGCTGCGGCTTCAAATTACGCACGAGTCTGTGGTAGTGAGCCGCGGCCACCCTTGTGAAATTTGGAATTTGTGATCATCAAGACATCTCCAATTAGTAAGGGCGGTGTGGTTCAAAAGTATGATGTAAAGGAAGAAAGTTTTTTTTCTCACAAACTACTCATGCATAGAATGAAGTCCCCTTTTATAACTGATGAGTAGTGAGCCTATATGAGTCAAGCGTTTTTAAGGCTTGCTGCGCGTGTTAAGTGAAGCATGCGTACAACTTTCACGTGCAACTCTGGCTCATCACATCAAAAGGCTTAGGTGCACTGATGACGTCGGGCTCGGGCGCTTTAGCAGACCTGCCAACATGCCGTACATGTGTGGCATTACCACACAATAGATTAGAAGGTATTTAAATGAGCCTTCAGTTCATTTAAATGTTTAATCTATTGTGTGGTAATGCCTGACTTCAGTAAGGAGTACAGCATGTTGGCAGGTCTGCTAAAGCGCCCGAGCCCGATAGGTATTTAAATGAGCCTGCAGTTCATTTAAATGTGTAATCTATTGTGTGGTAATGCCTGACCCGAGGAGCAAGTACGGCCAGATAAGACTTGAAGGTTTTCATGGTGAAAGAAGGGGGAACGGGTTAGCGTGGCGGTTCTTTCCTCGCTTTGCACCAATGAGGCCCGGGTTCGAGTACCGGCCTGGCCCAGGCTTTAAGTGCATTTGGTTTCCAGTCCATACTCGCTCTCGCAGGTTTTCTCCGGGTACTCCGGTTTCTTCCTGCCTCTAAAACTGGACCTGCTTACTAACTCCGTAATGTGATGCTGATTAATAAAGTGTATGAATAAACGTACAGTTATTGGTGCAAATAGCCTGAGTTGCTGAAAGCGCCATTAAAACAAAACAACAACATGGTGAAAGAAACTAGATGAATAAAATGATTGCGATTACACCATGTATCAATCTCTTTCTTGAGTATGTGTGGTTCTGAGAAGTACGGCCAGGTTGGCAGGTCTGGCTTTTTAGTATGGAGCTTCCGATCCGTTATTCCCTTCCAGCTCCTTTAAGAACGAGCCTGTTGTAAACAGACCGTGACGTCATCAGTGCAAATCAAATCATATTAGGATACGGTTACAAAAATCCAGACCGTACCGGAAACTGTAATTTGGTGCAGAATCGACGACTAGGCCGCACAGACATCGTGGGGATTTGGAAGGCTGTAAGTCCAACAGAATTATGCTCCCAAAGCACGCTCTTACCTACAATAGTCATCTCTACGGTCCCCATTGACGTCCATCATGTACCACGTATCCACGTGACCTGCATCAAACCAAGACCCAGTGCTGTTGTAGTTGAGGTCACTCTGGCTGCCTCCCATTCCAGCCAGCGAGCAGGAGAGCAGGTAGCCGCCGGTTGAGTTGGTGACCACCCTGAGCATGGAAATCAAGCAGATCGGTCAGATTCGTCATTTCTAATTGAAATTTTTCATTTTGTCTTTCCAGTACTCAGCTGACCCTCCCCTCAAGTCAGACAATGTCACTGAACCATTTGACTTTATGAATCACAGCCAAATATTTAAGGTTTCCTACTTAACATAATCCTTTCTAGTATCCATTTCAGAGACGTTGCTGCAGGTATCGAAGTTTTGTTCAAAAAATTGGTCGTAACACACTTACACGCATTCTGTGTGGAAACAGCATTGTTCTTGGCGATTTGTGACTAACAATAGCGGCCAATGGTCCACATTGAGTGAATCACAACTAATTTGTATCTCAATGTACACACGTCCGTGCCGTCTGCGTGGACGAATCCGTTCAGCCCTTGCCTTACCTACAGTAGTCGTTGGCGGCGCCCTGCCCCTGAACATCCACCCAGCCGTGGAACATGGACGGCACGCCGAGGTTGTGAACGTCGTAGCGACGCGGCTTCACGACACTGCTGTAGTTGAGCAGTGTCATATTGAATATTGGCGGATCTGGCTCATAATTCTCCATATCTGATGAGGATGGATCAAACAAGATGAATTAAACAAACGGGTTAAAGGAACCGGCTAACCCAACCCGCATTTTGAGGCTTGATTTTCCCTTGGATACCTTGAAAATCCAATAAACATTGAAAGAATGCCTCGAAACATTTTGTGACTTCAAGCGAACGGCTCGAAAATTCATCCATACTTCGAGTGAATGCTTAAAAATCTACTCTTTGAGGGAATGATTCAATAATTCAACCTTCAACTGAATGCCTCAAAGTTCAGACTTGGATCTCTCGAAAAAATCAGACCCCGAGTTAAAAAAAAAATTGGGCAAACGGCGTGATGTATTTGGGGAACAAAACGATGCGCAAAGCGTGGCTTGCATCATCGCACAGTTGGTCGGGTTTTCAAAAGATTTCGACTTGCCTTCAATCGCTTGTGGTTAATCTGTCAACGGCAAGGCACATGATAATTCCAATTCATGAATACCTTTCGTGTATCAGAATGAGTAAATCAACACATAAAATTTGTGATTTGGGGCTCTCAAAATCAAAATACGGACTAATGGATAGTATTCACGTAACAGATTTCATAGGAGTCTGAATTTAATTGTCGACCGTTTA